AAAAGCTGGAATGGATGAATAAACTATTTTGAGCAAACAGCTGTTGATCAGCTTATGGTGTTTTCTTCCAGCATTTGTTGATGGGCTTTTGCAATTTTCTTTTTGCCTGCCAGCAGCAAGTGGAAGCCAGGCAAAATGGAAATTTCTGGGATTTGTTACTCTTGATTGTAATTATCCACAAAAATGAACCCTTTAAAAAAGCTTATTTACAGGCATGCGGGAACTTTTTGGGGTGATAGAAATGTTCTAAGACTGAGTTGTGATGGTTGCACAAGGTTCCTAAAAATCATTGATTGTACACTTAAAAATGAGTGGATTTTGTGGTATATAAATTACACCTAAATAAAGCTGTTTTTTAAAAGCTTATGTGAAAGATTTCCAAGGCATTTTTAAGGTGAAAAAAGGAAGTTGCCAACCAATTTATATAGAAGAAACACAGTTTTGATCTTTTTAAAAGTCTCATATGTGGTGGCACATGCCTGTAGTCCCAGCTACCCGGGAGGCTGAGGCAGACAGATCGCTTGAGCCTGGGAGTTTGAGGTTGCTGTGAGCTGGGCAACAGAGTGAGACTCTGTACCAAAAAAAAAAAGTCTCATATGCATTGGAATATAACCTTGACTGGGTAGGAGCAGACTATGGTGGACTTTCACTTTGTACAATGCATGTAAATTTTTTTTCTTTATTTAACTGTATGCCTTCTAACACATGTATTGTTTTTATAATCAGAAAAATTAAGGATATTAAAGGAAAAGATTAGCTGGGCTCAATGACTCATGCCTGTAATCCCAACACTTTGGGAGGCTGAGGCAGGAGGGTTACTTGAGGCCAGGAGTTTGAGACCAGCCTGAGCAACATAGTGAGACTCCTCCCCACTCCTCTCCCCACTCCATGCCTTACTACCCACCCAGCCTTCTGCCCCCACCCACCAGCTCTATAACAAAAAAAATTAGCTAGGTGTGGTGCACTACTTGGGAGGCTGAGGAGGAGAATCGCGTGCACTCGGGAGTTTGAGGCTGTTGTGAGCTATGATTGTGGCCCCGCCGCACTCCAGCTTGGGCAACAGAGCCAGCCCCTGTCTCTAAAAACATAGAAAAGAAAAGATTAAAATTTTTCAATTAAAAGAGAAAGAAGGTCTATTTGGCCAGGACTGTTTCCCTCTCTACTCACAGAATAGTTCCATGATCCTAATGTGTCAGTTTTTTTCACACCAAGCAATTCTGAAATTCTTTGCAGACAATTCTCTGCAGACACCAAGTGGGTGTCTGTCTTAGTCTGTTTAGTGTTGCTATAAAGGAATACCTAAGGCTGGGTAATTTATAAAGAAAATAAGTTTATTT